TCGCAAATAAGAGCCATCTGTTATCCCGACTTTCATTAAGAGCTGTTATTGCACCGAATTTATTTCTTCATTTTTTCAGAGATCAGAAGTGGAAATGCGAATCCGCGCTAAAATCGGCGGAAAATGTAAATTTGGCAATAAACTTGCCGAAATAGATTCCGTGTTGGTTTTTGCTTAAGACCGCGGTCACTGCTGGATGCCGAAGATGACGAACTAATTCGAAATCACGCCCTTCGTCTTGGCTGCCCTTGCCCTTCCTGATTTATTTATCCCTCGTTCCCTTTATCGCCGCTAAACCACCCACGCCGTAAAAACCCCGTAAAGCGAAAGCACAATTAAGATTTTTAATCGCCTGTTTGTATCAATTCCGCCTCTCGTAAAACTAAATCGACTATTGTACACTTCGGTTCGCAATCGATGGCATTTGTATAAAGTGCGACAAAAAAGATGACGCAGCAGTCGCGCCATCTGGAACGTGTCCGATTGTGTAAGAGGTTTTGTGAATTTTATCACACACGGTGCGCTATCTGAATTTATAACCTCAAATATCCTCTCTCGTAAAATATTTACAATTTTTTTATTGGCCTGTTTGCTAACTTGCCGACACATTTATGGTTTATGACGGGTGAAAGATGCCTGGATTTATGGATTTTTAATCCGGACTGGAAGTGAACCGCTTATTTTATTATTTATTAATGGGGTTATTATTAATTCTTCGCCTCTACACGAGGCAATTACTAGATGGCGCTTTCTTCATACTAAAAATAGGTGCTACTCACGTCAACAGGATCAGACTTGTCGTACGAAGACGCGACTTCAGGACCTCTCCGTAATCCTCGCGCTAATAAATGTAAAAAATAAAGAGGATATTGTCAGAGTAATGGCGGATTAAACGCGAAAAGTGGAACAAGGCAAAGGTGAAACATTTTCTGGCTCGTTTTTCGTTTGTAGGTGAGCTGTGACGTCATCGTGAAAATTTAATACTGGCCACACGTCCGTTCTTTTAATTAAAAAGCTCGATGTGGCAACGCCGGACGCTGCGGCTAAAACGCAGAAAAGTTTTTATGAAAATTGCGTTTCGTCCATGTCTATTTATCGTGGTGATTGCTTTCGCCTTTCTCTTCTACTATATAAAGGTCTACGGGTGGTTTTTTTATACACCGGTAATAATTTCAATTTATGGCCGCCTCCATTATACCTATGGCTGACCGCCATAAAATGGAAATAGCTTTATTTTTGTTGAGATGATTAAAAATGTGCGTCTTTGGGGGCTGCGGTTTATCGGCTCGAATATTTTTCCATTCCGGATAGTTTTTGTACAAATGGAAGCGAATTACTCCAGGGAGGAAAGTTAGAAGATGAGCACTTGATTGTTCTTATTACAAAAACAGTTCGCTTCAAAGTACAACTTTTCAAACTTACATATACTTAGTCAAACACGCTTCTTGTCTTTGTCAGACCCAGACAGATTAAACCATCCCGTCAATCCCTGATCCCTTATAATCCTGTAGATGTCCTGTGTGCAAATTCGATTGTTCCTTATCTATAAGTGGCAACAGTGTAGAAGGACAGCTTATATTAATACCCTCTTCCGTTTCCGTTCCATCTTACTCCGTTCGAACACACATAAATCAATTATTAGCCGGTCGTCGAGAGCTTCATTCAAAATCCAATCTGTGCATCCGGTTCGAAGTCGGGGAATTGTTTTCACGAGATTTGTGCAGCGGAAAAACGACGGGGGCGATCGAACAAGAAATACGATCAAGTGGAAGACTAAAGGTGAATTGGTCTTTGGTTAACGAAAACGGGAAAGGTAACGGATCGTAGGCAGGTGGTTTTTAATTAAACGGAAAAAAATGGGAGAAATTAGTGCGGTATTGGGTGATTTAGGGTTGTATTTGTGGGTTTTCTCGAATAGTTAGCTCGATTTAATTAAACGGAAAAAAATAAAAATTCGAGATTTTCTCATCTAACTAAGAAAGATTCTCCCAATTTATAGAAGCATACAAATTATTAAGCAGTTGTAATTGTTTTAACCTGACACAAATAATCAAGAGACCAGCAATATGGAATATGATGAACAGTATCTTTAAAAATAGGATCTTCTATAGTACCAACATGCAAACCATCAATATTAGAAAAGATCCAAAAAATATCCAAAGAATCCAAAGAACTATTCTAAAGATTCTAGAGGTTCTAAATATTCTAAGGATTCTGGAGATTTTAAAACTTCTAAAATTCTTTCTTCTTGAGAATGAGGAGATTGTAGGGATTCTAGGGATTCTAAACATTCCAAAAATTCTAAAGGTTTTAGAGTCGAGCGGTTCCAACAATTGTAGATATTCATAAGATTCTGGAAATTCTAAAAGTTGATGAGAGATGCTAGAGATTCTGGGGATTCTAATGTTTCTGGAAACTACTAGGATTTTGAGAACATTTAGAATTTCTCTATTCTTTAGAATTTCCAGAATTTTTAGCAACACCAAAATCTCCAGAACCTCTAGAATGTCTAAAACCTCTAGAACCTCTAGATTTCCTGAAACCACAAGACTCTAAAACTTTGGATTTCTTGGAGTCTTTAGAATCTCTAGAATATTTAGCACCTCCAGAATATTCAGAACCTGTAGAGAATTTCTGACGTCTAGAATCTTTAAAATCTTTAACATTTCCAGAATATTTAGAATTACTTGAATTTCTCGAACCTTAAAAACATCTACAATCTCTAGAACTTCCAGAACCTCTGCAATCTTCGGATTTTTTTAAATTTTTAGAGTCTTTACTTACTCCAGAAGCATCAGAAACTCGACACTCTCTAGGTATAGTAGAATCGTTGAAATTTCTGGAATTTCTAGAATATCTAGAATCTCCAAAATCTCTACAATCTTTAGAGTATCTAAAGTTTTTAGTATCTCCAAATACTCTAAGATCACTAGTATGTTCAAAATCTGTAGAATCTCTAGAATGATAGAAACCGCTAGACTCTCAAACTTGTACCATATTGAGAGTCTCTAGATTCTCTACAATCTCTAGAATTACTAGAATCTTTGAAATCTCTGGAAGATTTGGAATCTTTAAACCAACTTCAGGAATATTTGAAACATTTGAAATATTTTTAAAGATTCTGAAGATTTTAAATATTCTAAAGAGTCAAAGTAATTCGAAATTTTAGAATCTAGCGGTTCGTGCAATTGTAGAGATTCTAGAGGTTTTAGACATTGTAGAGATGTTAAATAGCTGGAGATTTTAAAGACTCGAAAGATTCAAAGAAATTGAGTTTTAGGGTCTAGCGGCTCCAGCAATTCTAGAGATAATGTAGAGGTTTTGGAAGTGCTAAAAATTCTGGAATTTTAAAGATTCTAAAAATTATAAACATTTCAAAAGTCTAGGGCTTCGAAAAATTGTAGAGAATCTAAAGATTCTAGTGACTCTAAAAATTCTATAGAGTCTAAGTCTAAAAAAAAGATTCCAACGTTCTAAGGCCATATCTGAGAAGAACTCAATTTACCCGCATTGTCAACTAATTAAGGCGAAGGATTGCTACAAAAAAATCATCGCGAATCCTTACGCTGCAAGCAGTTAGGCGACGATGTCATATGTGCTCGGAACAAAATGGTCTACATTTTCCACATTTATTGCAGCACGTTAATAAAATAAATTTTCTCAAATATTACGTGTTTATTTCGTTGCTCTGAATCATATAAAACATTCACAAAAAAGGGACCGTACAGAATCGATTTTTCCAGCTTGACATCAAGTGGGTTGCAATCTCGAACCCAACTTAACACAGGATCTTTAATTCCACAAGCGTCCAATTTTTTTAAAATTTGTGATAATTAAAAACTAAGCTGAATGTTGAAGCATCGTGTTGGTTGCTTTTTTGAAACGTAAAACGCGATTAACAACGCATCAACGTTTCGCTTTTTAGTCAGTCCTGGAGATGCCTCCTTTGTTATTAAAATAACAATAACCTACCTGTTGTTCTTTATTTCCTCTGCGAATTGTGTATATTCTTCAGTATGTTTTAAGTTAATAAAGTCGGTTGGAGGCCGCAGGCTCCAGCGGTATAATTACAGTATCGTGCTTTGTTCCGTAAAGTTCCCTTTGGCCTTTCGAAATGCGGTAAACAAGCCAATGACATAAAACTAAAAAGCGTAGGACTTATTCATTCGCCATTTGCTTTCAATTAATTCAAATTCCCGCGCATCTCTAGTGTCAATAACGGCCGAGCCGAGTTGGAGGAAGTCGGAACAAAGGCCATGTTTGCGCGGATACCGAGGATAAATATCAAGCCGAATCAACAAGGAAATACACTTTGTTTTATTCGAGTCGTCATGTGTTAACGACGCGGAAATTGTTTTCGTATTTTTCGATTCGGAGGCGATTAAGAATTGATATGTTTATGGAAGCGTGGTGCTGACACGCAGTTTTTTCCGCTGTTGCAGCGATTAGATCCGAATTCCCTTTGTCGACCTCGTGCCGTAAGGAGCATCATAGGTCCTTTTACCCATTCCAGGTTTCGCATCCCGGCCTTATTTACCTTTAATTCAGCCTCGGAACCCGGCCTCTTATAAAAGATGCTTGATTTTTGTTGACGTATCTCGAAAAGTCGGCCGAACTCTCATCACTGTAACGAGATTTGCGTGAAACCATCAACCTCAAGTCGAATTCGGATCCTTTAACCCGCGTTCGCCGCGAATATAAATCAATAAAGAAATTTCATCATCATAAACAAAATAGAAACGTAAATATTTGAGTGGACCTGTATCGATCCGGCTATAAATTAGAGCCCAGATGTTCCGAGATAATGCATTGCGCTGAAACGATGCACCGGCTAACTAATTTCGGGTGCAAGCGAGCGTCACACTAAGTGTTACTAAGTGAAATATGGCACGCCGCCTTGCGTCGATAGTGGCACGTAATGGCGCGAAAGTCAAATTAGCTTCAAAATGAATCTTCCAGTAGTTTTACTTCAGTATAGTATTCTTAATCTACGACTTAACCTAAAACTTATAGTCCCTGATGTGGATGTCTTCGAAGTCTTTCGTCATCTCGATCCTCAGATTCGCCTCTTGTAGCATCTGATCCATCAACTCCTTAACTGGCCGCAAGTAACTATTAAAAGATCTCTTATCGAGTTTATACACTTCACAAATTTCTACAGCGAACACGTGCGCAGTCCTTTTTTGCTCTTTTTTGAGTAGGGCAATTTCACCGAAATGTGCCCCGTCTTGTAAGTGGCAGACCTGTCGTACAAGCTTTCTATTAGAGATTACTTAAGCACTTTGGAGCGTCAGTACTTCTTTGCCTGAAGGGGTGTAGACAGCTACGGTTCCCGATCCGAGGAAGTACATAGCCTCCCCTACCGTGCCGGCTTTGATGATGAGATCGTGCGGCAGGAACACCTCCAGGTGGAGGTGGTTGATGATGCGGTTCATCGTCTCTTGCGGAATGCAGTTGAAAATTTCCACGTTACCGATGAACTTTTGCATGATGTTCTGGTTGATCTGTTGGCGAAGACGCTCTGATAGAAAGAAAACAAATCCCGGTGGGGTTGATTTCTCAAACAACGGAACCGAATTCTACCTGAGAGGATGCTCTTGATGGTGTGCTCTTCGAAGTACGTTCTGCGAAACTTATAATTGTAGTACTGGAGGAGCCTATTTCTGGTCGCCGTAGATAACTGTTTCCGTCTCATGAAACCTTCCAGTTCTTCGACAACTTCGTAATATTTCGACTCGAGTGACCAAATGTTCAAGAACTTTCCCACCGCCATCACTTAAAAGCAAAAATTTGTATTTACGTGTTTGTTTTAGAGTGGTTTGTACCGGTGATATAGAAAACGACTAACTTCCCGACGATGTAGAGCACGCAGGCAAAAATTTTTTCCTCGAACGCTTGTTCCGTGACTGTTTGTTGCTTGATAGCTGCAATCTTCGGCATTGTGTTAATACTGGAGAAAAATTTGGAAGTATTTACCAAGTATGTAGGCAGAAGCTTTGTATAGGGTGTGGAAGTACCGTTGTTCTAGAGATTCGTCGAAGATGCGTTCCCGCAGGGTCCATGAATCTTTGTCGATTTGTCCGGTCAATGCGCGTCGGAAATGAGGCAACAGGTAGACGGCACAAGCCGTCCAATGACAAAATAAAATAAAGAAGAAAGCGGTCAACAGTGTCCTACAGATTGGCTTATCTATGCGAAGATACTGAGGAGAAGTTACTTTTGTTTAACAGAGTGTAAAAATCGTACCTGTGCACTTCTCAGGAGGTACTCGTACGTTGTTGCTGCCCTACTTAATTTAAAAAGACACAGCAGTGAAAGTATATCTAGAAAAATGGTTGAACCCCCAGGGCCAAAAGTGTAAGGATCGGGTATCGTGGAAATAAGGTCTGGTACAAAAAACGTCCTGAGGTACTTCCTGAAAGCGGTACTCGATTAACTCGTGAATTTCGACCGTTCCAATTATATACTTACATTGCTATTTGTTGGGGATCTGTTATTACTCTTTTTTCTTTTTCCTCGACGTACGCTGTTCGAAACCTTAAAGCTATATCGGCAACACATGCACAGTCTACACAGAGTTTAAAAATGCGGAGCATAGAGACTTCCCTACCGCCGAAAGATGCTTGTAGTGGAAAATGTATCAAACAAATCGAGAAAATAACTGCCATCCACATTTCGTAATATATCCTGGAAGATTACAGTTAATAAGAGCTAAGATTGAATTAGACCTACCTGAAGTCACTGAAGCAGTGGATAATGGTGCTGCCAGTTGCTATTTGACGCATTCGCAATTTTCTAATGGTGGTCAGGTTTTCGTAAAACTGTAAACTGTAAGGATTTTTCTCAGATATTAATATTGATAGTTCTAGTGTGCGTTTAACTCTAGCTAGACAACCCGCTTTCGCTGATAACTTCGGCAGTTCTCCTTCTGACATTTTTGACAATACGACATTTTGACTATTTTGAAGTTTAGCGCTTGTGGTGGCTGGATCCATTTCTATATTTTGTAATCATAAATCGAATCCAGGTTGTCTCATAAAAATAATGCAACGTGCAGTAAAATCACGCCGTCCTTTTCTAAACCACCCAAATCCCCCCCTATTAATCATTTCCTCGAACGCCAACATGACAAATCGTCCATCGTAAAATAAAACACAGTCTTTCCTTGACAAATCCAACGTCCACAAAACACTTTCCAACATGTAAAAAAATCCCCGAGGAGCCCCTTCGACATAAATCCGCATACCATAAAATGCACCACTCGTACAAGTTTTCCATTACAGTGACGTGAGACGATTTATCAAAGCGGCGTCGATAACACAGTCGAAATCGCCTCTCCCGCTTGAAATTTACAAGAATGCACACACCGTTGGCGATTTATCGTGTCGAGTTAATTGATGGAGGGAAAAAGGGAAGGTAGTTTTCGCAAAGACGAAAAATTGAAACTAATTTCGGGCGACCTGAGAGACCTCCGCATTGATCCACATCTATTGTTACTCTAGATTGATGATTACGCGTCGTTTGGAAAATAGCCTGCAATAAAAGTCCTACTAACCATATGAGGGCGTTTTACGGTTGATATGATAGTGTGCAAGTGGGAAAGCCGCTGAAATTGCCGACTCGAGGACCGACTAATCCTGCAGACAAAGGCGAAAGAGGTTTATTACGAGTGTGTGACTCTCATCAGTCCGAATATTTCTAATTGGAGGTAACTCGTTCGCGAATAAAAGGAAACTGCTCGGAAGACTGTCTAAATATAGGAGAGTTAATATTAACACCGCTCTCCGCACTACTAAAATATTTAAAACGTCAAGCAAACATTTTCCAACCGAACGAACAATGTCCTTAAAATATATTATTACCATACAAATCGAATTAAGCACGCCTCTAACCGATTAGCTCTGCTTTACTATACATATTCATAACCCTTCTTGTCTTAACGCTTCATAACTTAATCCCATCTACGTCAGCGAGGAATCTCCACCCTTTCAACCTTCTGACAAATGCTCTCCTTGCACGGTTCCGTGGATCGCGCTTTTTTATATACAGGGTGTCCCAGAATTCGCGCCATTCCCGTGAATGACATGTTCCCTGTCCCGAACTCTGCCGTAATTCGCAAAAAGAATTGTCCAGGCTTTAACCGTGTGAGAACTGGAAGGCGATTAAGTTGACCAATAGAGAGGCTGCTTTTATATCCGAACGTTTCTATGTTCAAAGTTACCTATGCCAAGAACAAAAAATCGGGTAATACTAAAGTTGAATGATTTTTTTTCGAATCCCCCTCCGTCAACAAAAGGAAACAGAAGTGTGGTTACAAATTTAATCATTTTGACAATTGTTTGTCATAAACTGTCACGAAGTTCATCACTGACCTGAAGAGACGCTTCTGCGCCAAAGATGACTGATTAATGTACACAGAGACAGAGACGTTTACTTTAAGGCAAGTAGCATGGGACAGAAGTTATTTCTGCTGCCATTCTAGTTAAATTGTGTTTAACTGGGCTGTACATGTCATAAGAGAAGCTGTTTCATTTCATCGTAGGCAACTAATACATTTATTACTATTCTACATAGAGTAGCTACCGAAGAGCAGGTATTAGAAGTCATTTTCTTAGAGCCCCGTGAATAATCGTCGGTACCCAGACCAACAAGCGTTTCACCGATTGTTACATCGAGCAAGAGAAGATGGATCTTTTCAACCTAGTCGGAAAGGCCGTGCTGGGGCTCCACGGAATGTACGTGTGGGTGCTGAAGAGCAAGTGTTAGAAAACATGGAAGCGGATCCTAGGAGAAGTGTCCTCTATGTAGCGCAAATGAGTGGATGCTCAAGATCGACCACTCATCGGATCCTTCAAGAGAGAATACTGCATCCTTACCATTACACGAGAGTGCAGCATCTGCGACCAACCGACTACCCGCGACGAGTACATTTTGCTCAATGGTTTTTGCGACAAAATGAACTAAATCCTGATTTTTCACGGCGCATTCTTTTCACCGACGAATGTTCATTTTCCCGAGAAGGAATGTTTAGTGCACACAATTGGCACTTCTGGGCACACGAAAATCCACATCTCACTAGGGTGAGAGCGTATCAGGAGCGATTTACTATTAATCTATGGGCTGGAATCATTGGTACTACTGTGGTAAAAATTTTAATGCATCTGATAAAATCACTAAACTCCGTTCCTGTTTTTTAGGTGGGGCCGTTTGTGTTACCTGATCACCTTAATGGGGAGGCATATGCTAATTTTCTACGACTAGAGCTTCCGGCATTGTTGGAAGACGTTCCTTTGAATGTACGGCGGAATATGTGGTTTCAGCACAACGGCGCTCCTCCACATAATTCGATACTTGCACGGCGAACATTGAAAAGAGTCTATATATCTATGTTAAATAATATACAACACAACATAATGCGACGAGTTAGAACTGGCATTGAAGTTAATGGTGATCATTTTGAGCACATTGTTTAATAACGTTACAGTACAACGATTCCGGCCCACGGATTAATAGTATTGCTCTTGATATGCTCTCACGTTAGCTAAATGTGGATTTTCGTTTGCCCAGAAGTGCCAATTGTGCGCATTAAATATTCACATGCTGGTCAAGGAGCCGATGATTGGGGAAAAGACCTGTATATTCGCACACAGCAGTGGCTGCATAGCGTTTACATTCTCCATAAATTAACATCATTTCCAAATATTCTTTATACTAGTATGAATAAGACATCAGTGACTTAGTGGTATTGGTACTGATTTGTTTATAGTTTGTATTGTTCTTAAAAAAAAATGCAACTACACGATTTTTGTTATAATTTTTATTCGTATCTTTTCACTCTCTAGAAAGTACTCGCAACTTTAAAGAAACTGTCTTAAATCATCATGTGCAACATCAATATTATTCTTGAATAAGTCTCAGTTTTCAGTATCTCCCCCACATGATTGACACCACAGCAGATACCTATGATCTTAATACACCAGAGAACTGGAGTCTCGTCTCTTTTTTCGTTGCTTAGACTAGGTATCAGCAACAAAGCTGTTCAGTAAAAATTGATACTATTTATTGAAAATCATAAGCACCGATTAATCAAAAGCGATATTTATGTTTTAGTACACTAAATAACGTTCTTTGAATGGACATGTGGTACTCTTTTTTAGAAATAACGATAAACTTAATATCAGGGATATGATGCAGAGTAAATTCTGAAAATGTACTAATTTTCGTTAAAAATAACAACGCATTATTCACGGGGCTCTAAGAAAATGACTTCTAATACCTGCTCTTCGGTATCTACACTATGTAGAACAGTAATAAATGTATTATTTGTCTACGATGAAATGAAACAGCTTCTCTTATGACATGTACAGCCCAGTTAAACACAATTTAACTAGAATGGCAGCAGAAATAACTTCTGTCCCATGCTACTTGCCTCAAACTAAACCTTGACGTCTCTGTGTACATTAATCAGTCATCTTTGGCGTAGAAGCGTCTCTTCAGGTCAGTGATGAACTTCGTGACAGTTTATGACAAACAATTGTCAAAATGATTAAATTTATAACCACACTTCTGTTTCCTTTTGTTGACGGAGGGGGATTCGGAAAAAATTCATTCAACTTTAGTATTACCCGATTTTTTGTTCTTGGCATAGGTAACTTTGAACATAGAAACGTTCGGATATAAAAGCAGCCTCTCTATTGGTCAATTTAAGCGCCTTCCAGTTCTCACACGGTTAAAGCCTGGACAATTCTTTTTGCGAATTACGGCAGAGTTCGGGACAGGGAACATGTCATTCACGGGAATGGCGCGAATTCTGGGACACCCTGTATTTACTCAGCTTACGCGTAATAACTGCACCGGTCCCAGGACGCCTCCCTGCCGCGTCCCGATGATTATTAGTCTGTGTCACGACAGCGAGATTATTGCAACCCCCAGGTTGACCGTCCTCGTCGTCCCAATATAGCAAGCTCTGCTAGCTTATAGACCAAAAAAGATTTCCCGAGAGGTAGACGCTGCAGGTGAATATACGCCCGTGCTGAGGGCGGATGCACCTCATTTGCTTTTGTTTTAAAAGTTGATGTGGACAGGGAATCGGGCTGCGGTTTATTTATTTATGGGTGATCTAGGTCGAGATTGATGGCTTTTAACGAAAGAGGTGGCATAAAACTGTAAAATGAAATTTACACTAGAAAAATGCGCTTCTAAAAACAGAGCCCATTTTTCTTTCTATTACTTAGATTTTAACAAAATTAATTTTAATTGTCGATAATTGTAGTTTGTAGTTTGGACGTTTTGCTAAAAAATTGCTTTCTTTTAGAAGATGAATCACTAGATAGTCAACATGATGGGGCCCCTGCTCATTATGGGCCAGTTTTGGCCTCCTTTGTCTCGCGACCTCAATCCTTGCGACTGCTTTTGTGTCAGTTTTACTTTACAAAACAGAATTCAATTTTTATTTCACAATGAAATTCAGAAGCGGAGGTGGGGGGGGGGGATTAGTATTACATTTTTGGTCTATGTTCGACTGTTGATCAACATAAAATACACGTTTCATCCAATAAACTGGTGAAACAAAAAGAAAACGGGGTGGGTGGGCGGGGCCACTTTGAAGTGTTTTTTTTATTTAAATTAACCAGTTCACAAAATAGAATTCAATCTTTATTTCACAGTGAATAAAATAATCCAATGAAATTCAAAATCGAATTTTTCACAATCTTAAAAAAAGACAGTTGCGACCCCGAGAAGGTTTTACGTTAAAAAAAAGACAATTGGGACTCCCGAGAAGGTTTCACATTAAACAAAAGACATTTGGCGCCCCCGAGAAGGTTTTACATTTTTAAAAAAGACAGTTGGGACCCCCGAGAAGGTTTTACATGTTTAAAAAAGACAGTTGAGCCCCCGAGAAGGTTTTACATTTTTAAAAAAACAATTGGAACCCCTGAGAAGGTTTTACATTCTAAAAAAAACATTTGGGGTTCCCGAGAAGATTTTACATTTTAAAAAAAGACAGTTGGGACTCCCGAGAAGGTTTTACATAAACAAAAAGACAATTGGGACTCCCGAGAAGGTTTCACATTAAACAAAAGACATTTGGCGCCCCCGAGAAGGTTTTACATTTTTTAAAAAGACAGTTGGGACCCCTAAGAAGGTTTCACAGTCTAAAAAAAAAACACATTTGAGGCTTCCGAGAAGGTTTTACATTAAAAAAAAAACAGTTGGGACCCCCAGATAAGGTTTTACATTTTTAAAAATGAGGTTTGTGAGCCCCGAGAAGGTTTAACATTTTAAAAAAAGACAATTGGGTCCCCGAGAAGGTTTTACATTTTTAAAACAGGCAATTGGGAACCCTGAGAAGGTTTTACATTCTAAAAAAAACATTTGGGGTTCCCGAGAACGTTTACATTTATAAAATAGACAGTTGGGACCCCCGAGAAGGTATCACATTCTAAAAAAGCATTTGGAGCCTCCGAAAAGGTTTTATACTTTTAAAAATACAATTGAGGCCCCCGAGAAGGTATCACATTCTAAGAAGAACATTTGGAGCCCCCGAGAAAATTTTGCATTTTTAAAAATGACAATTGGGACCAACGAGAAGGTTTCACATTTTTAAAAAAGACAGTTGGGACCCCCGGAGAAGGTTTCACGTTCTACAAAAAGTATTTGGGGCCCCTGAGAAACATTTGCAGTTTTAAAAAATTGTATAAGCAAATCTTAAAAAATATTAATGCAGTGATAAATCACAAATAAAAACTCATCGTATTTTACACATTTCAGGTAGACTTTGGAATTTAACTCGCTACTATGGAAATTTGCAATTGGACACCTTTAAATTTCACAAGTTTTTACAAGATTAATAGGGGCAAAATCAGTTTTATATACTAGGACCGCCCACCCGCCCCTTATTTTCCCAGATGATGTCATTTGCCAAAACCAGTCTTATCTTACCAAGTACTAGCCCCGCCCACCCACCCCTTACTTTCTTAGAAGATATGGCATTTGCTAAAATCAGTCTTATCTTACCAAGTACTAGCCCCGCCCACCCACTCTTTACGTTCTTAGAGGGTGTCATTTGCCAAAATCAGTCTTATCTTACCAAGTACTTGCCCCGCCCACCCGCCCCCTATTTTTTCACAGGATATGTCATTTGCCCAAATAAGATTTATGTTATCAACGTAAAATTCAATTTTCGTCCAATAAAATGAGTGATCAAAAAGAAAACCGGGTGGGCGGGCGGGGTCAGTTTGAAGGTTTGAAAAATGTGACAGAATCCCGGCGTCCCGAGTGTTTCTTTTGGAAGAATATAAAGTGTCTTTTTTCTTTTTAGAAAAATTTTGAAGAATCTCTAGGAACACTAGTGCTTTTCTTTTTTGTAGAATTTAGAATAATTTTAGGAAGTCCCTGGTGTTTTTTTTTAAGAATCTCGAAGTCCCTTTGTGTCTTTCTAAAGAATGCAGAAGGATCTTTTGGGTTCCAGGTGTCTTTTTTGGAGAATTTAAAAAGTTCTTGGGAGCCCCGAGTACCTTTTTTTAAAGAATATAAAAAATCTTGGGGATGTTTAGTGACTTTTTTTTTAAATGCGGAAAAATTTGGGTATATTCAAGTGTCTTTTTTTAAAAAGCGTGTAAGAATCACGGTTCTTCTTTTTTAAAAAATGCGGAAGAATCCTTGGCTCGAAAGTGTTTCTTTTGAAAAAATATAAACGAATCTCGGGGATCCCAATTTTTTTTTAAAGTATATAAAAAAATCTCGCAAGTCCCCTTGTGTTATTTTTAATAATACAAAAGAACATCCGGGTGCCCTTGGGTCCTTTTTCTATTTGAAAAAAATTATAAGTATCTCCAAAATCCTAAGTATTTTTTTTTAAGAAATTAAACAAGAATCTTGGTACGTTCCTGGTGTCTTTCTAAGGAATGCAGAAGAATTTTCTGGGTCCCTGTTGTATTTTTTTTTGAGAATTTAAAAGGACCTCGGAAGCCTCATGTGCCTTGTTTTAAGGATATAAAAAAATTCGGGAATCCCTATTTTTTTTTAATTACCTACTGAAGATTTTGGGGATTTCTATGTGTCTTTTTTTTAAGTCTGAAAGATTCTCAGGCATCCCTAATACCTTTTTTTAATAATGTGAAAAAATTTCCGGGCCCTAAGGTGTCTTTTTTTATTCTAAAGAATCTCGAGGTTCCCTTGTGTCTTTCTAAAGGAAAAGGTACTCAGACAGGTCAAGGGTTACGTATCAGCGAAGCAGTCTCAAATGGTATCTCTTACTCTTAATTCTGGAGGTCTTGTTGGAATGTTTCTACAAAAATTGAAGTGTACAAATTCGATAAAATATCTTTTACTTGCTTACTTCCGAAATCAAAAGTTCCTGCGGAATGTCGAAATTTTCAAGAGAGAAGAATAATTTTACACACAATTTGACTGAACTAAGTGATGATGTATCTCTCGTGAACAATGGTGTCACTTTCATCCGAGAATGGAAATGACGAAGTGTGATAATACGTATACCTAAATTTTATTTATTTGTCTAACGTGTCTATTGCGGCGGCTGTTAAAACGTGAAAAATATCCATGATTTGATCGTTATTGTTACGACCATTTATTTTACAGCTTCCTGTTAAAATCTCGTTATTTAAGTAATTTGAATTTAAATTACTGCATTTATTGTGACTTTATGACTTCCACAAATATGATTACTTGTATAATTACACCAGTGTGATATATTAAAACAGTCCAACGAGTCTGGCGCCGGTTTATGCATCATCGCTCGAACCTTAATTAACAGTGCTATAAATCATTTTTTTCCCGTAGGTATTTTTTTTTTCACAAAGTTTTCTCGAAACGTGTGTTTCAACCCGACTTAGTTGTTCTTTGACAAAAACTCGATTTACTTTTTTGCTCGCCTTGCTTGCTCATTTTACAAAACAAATGGAATTTCCTCTGAATCATACACCTGAAAAACAAAGTTATCCGAAAATATTTACTTAACGTTGAAATAACAATTTATTCGGCACGACCGTGCTTTGTGTTTCTCTCCAATTATTTCCACAAGCAACTAATTGGGAAATTTATATTCTTCTCCGGCATGTAGGTAGTCGAGGCGAAATAGAGGCAATTAGATTTCGGCTTTGATCGTTGTAGCATATTCCTCGACATAATAAAATTAAAATTATGTCAGTTTGATGATTCAGACGTGGGGGGTGTGACGTTTTTAGATGTTTACGAAACGAGCCACATGTATCCAATTAATGTGAGAAAAACTCATCGTCTGAATCCTACCGACTGCGCCGATGCTTTAACGTATTCTAATTTGTTGCTATCGCTCCACACGAGTAAACGCTCTTATTGGAAACCCTTTGTCCGACAAAGACGAAATGTGGACTTATTTAAAAAGAACAGATCCTTTATCGATAGTAACGCAGACAATAACTTTCGTTCACTCCAATACATTCTAATTTATTTCAAACTTTTCGCATTCCGTGGAGATTTTCCTAAAGATTATGTTTCTCAGACTTTATCGGTAATTAAATCAACAACCCTCAAACTTTTCGTATTAGTTTTCCGAGCCGGACTATCCTCATTTGTAACGTATCCATTTTTTCCACATCCCGTCTTGCGCAGCTTTTAAAAATCCCCTCGATTTCCGCGCTTCTGACACCCAGATTTATGAAAAACCTGGATCCGACGCACAAAAAAGAATCTAAATGGCTTTCGCCAAATTAAATTAATCGTAATGAATGCTCTTGATCCGTTTAAATCCGGCCCTTTTTTAAAACATCTCCGATAAATTGAAATCTTCAAGTCCAGAGAAGCCGGATTATAACGGAAGTGTGTGAGTTAATTAAAAGAAAAGTCGCTTGATTAACAATGGCCCAAGATTGCCAACTTGGAAAAACTAAGCGACGACGTACGCTTCTGGGTTCTGAAAGGGTAACGATCTGCTACCATCTATCTCCGTCACGTTTTTCTTTTTTAATCAAACTTGACTTAATAATTCACCGAGGCTTTATAGTGTGGAGGATTAATCAATCGCTTTGAAGTTTATATTGTGTGGTGGCCACGACAGAGGAGAGAAAAAAGCGTGCAAGGTTTCCTCAAAACTTCCTAATTTTATAATGGTTTTTAGATTGAGAAGGCGGCTTGCGCGCCAACTGGAAAAAGCATAAATCTCGAATTTGTGAAGTCGGATTCGAAAAATTCCCACCGACTGCGCCTTGACAAAACCCGGAAGTGTCGCCGAGATTATTACGCTTTTTGTTAAGCGCATCGCATGCACTGGCTTGTCTTCCAAGTTTAACACTTTTTAATTTGATTCAGTTTACTTGTTTGTTTTTACGGTATCTCCGATTTACAACTGGAAACAAACAACAACGAAATTTGGTATTCAAATTTCCGCTTAGAAATCGAAACACATTTACCATCCGAGATTGGTAATGTTAAAAATGGAACAAATACGATACTATGAAAAATTGATTCGAAATCACGTCGAACGCGTGAGGGACGAGAGAATTAAGTTGAGTGTAATATTTTGTAGCGTCTTTAATAGCAGCGGTTTGCGGTTTGCGAAAAATCCCACCGACTGCGCCATTTTAAGACAACACGAAATTAAAACAAAACCGTCCGTATCTCTGGCTCCGCCGCCCTGTGTAAACTTGCAGCTCGAAATTAACCCCTGAATATTTCATTAGTTCAACTTGAAACAGATCCAACTCTCGTCACACTGCACTTCCGACAAACCGTCCAATTAAAACTTTTTTTCATTCGCAGGACAAAATGAAGTGCTAACCCATAAGGATGCGATGGTGTTATGGATGGCGAAAACCGTATCATTCTGAACGTTGGCGGCATTCGCTATGAGACCTACAAAGCTACTCTGAAGAAGATTCCCGCCACCAGACTAAGTCGACTCACGGAGGCACTGGCTAACTACGATCCCATCCTCAACGAGTACTTTTTCGACAGACACCCGGGCGTTTTCGCCCAAATTCTCAACTACTACCGGTGAGTTGTGAATCGATTGACCGATTTGTGTCGGATTTGGCTCGGTTGGACGTTATTAATTGCGTTATTGCGCCACGGACAGGAAAGCGGAGGTTGCTTAATTATTATGTAATTTCCCTCGGAATTATTTTATCGGGGTGATGGATGACGGGGGTAAATGGCCACGCTGTGAGAAATATACTCGTGGCTTCCGAACCGCCTTGTATTACCTAAAACTTTGAGACCCTCGGGCAAAAAGTACCGCTGACAAACCCGGTTAACACAAAGCAGGCAACCCTCCATACACGCCTGCTCTCTTAGTTGATAACGCTGTACAAATAGGCAACTTTAATTACACCAAAGTAACTTTGGAAATGTAAACTGCAGCCCCTCGACTCGCATTCGCGATCATCTATCCATTTCGTAAACGTTCAACAAATAACTTACATCCACAAGACACCAACAATTACAAAGGCAAGGTTGGGATTCCGGTGGTTTGGTCGACTTTTTGTCGTCGCACGTTTCTAATTTAAATTTTCTTTTATTCCTCGCCTTTGCGGCGTCATAACATAAATTTATGTTTCGTTTTTAATCCGCAGGACTGGCAAGCTGCATTATCCGACAAATGTGTGCGGGCCTTTGTTCGAGGAGGAGTTGGAGTTTTGGGGGTTGGATTCCAACCAGGTGGAGCCCTGCTGCTGGAGCACGTACAGCGTCCACAGGGACACCCAGGTGAGATATAAATAATCGCTCGGATCGGTTCTGGATTTGCATTGGAGGCTGATGTATTCTCGTGGGTGAACTCACTTCTTGCTCGCTGGAAACGGACGCGAGATAATGACAAGACTCAATTAAACGCAAAGGAAAAATATCGCAATCCTACCGGCTGCGCCAACATTGGCTCTGTTAACTTTTTTCGACCGGAATTTTTATGTGGTGACTTTATTCGAGTCATCCAACTAAGATCATTTACTAAAATATATACAACAACAATTTTTTGGTCTAAATATTATAATCTAAGTACCAAGGGCCAGCAGGAGTTGCGTTTTTTCCCAAAGTTTCACCTCGTGTGTTTTCGTAATTATTACACCCTTTCACCCCACTGTACATTTTTCTCCCTACAAATACCTGTTGGGCATAAAGTATTATAATTAACATAAAAACAATCTAAATTTTCCTCACAAGGTGTACAGCCACTCCCGAAATTATTTTTAAAGAGGCCAGCTCTTGGTAACAGCCTCGCCACGCCAATTTTCGTCCCTATTTTGTAACGCACACCGCCTGATATCATTACGTGGAGGATTATAAAACCGTACGCCACAACCGCAAGGGACCTTTCAATTTTAATGGCTCGAAAAATGATACCGGTTGTATAAATTTGGTAATGCAAGGAGAGCTAAGCTCCCGTAGCTAGACCTCTCCGACTTTGATATTCAACGTCGCTGGGAGCTTAGCGTCGAAAGAAACGCGTGCGTTAAAAGAAACAACAAAAAATTGATCATTTATTTAAAGAGGAATGAAAATAAAAGTGAAATAAAATAACCGAAACGTCTGCTCAGGTCTGTGAATTTTGTAATCCGTGGACTCATAAAATATTCTTTTTGTAAATAAAGTTTATTTGCGTTAAACTGAACAAAAAGCGTTTTGAGTGCGCTTCCAGCGGGCTCTCGCTGCTTACGGAACCTCTCTTTCCGTATAAGTAGTAGTTATTCGGGGAGATGTGAGCTGGGAGGGTCGCCTCCATAATAAGAAGTACAATTCTATTAAATCTCGACGTCTCTGCCTTATTTCTATAAATGCGACCTCTCTGGCACGATTTTCCGCCTCGTCGTTCGGTACGACCACCGCCCGGTTTCTGGTTTGAGAATCGGTAACTCTTCAACCAAATCCTAAATCGTGCCCCCCGCCCTTTCAACTTTTAATTGCGCACGTCTAATTATCCTCCGACCTATCCGAGCGTACATTTCAATTATGTTTATCAAAACAGGCCCCAGAGCTCCTCCCACGCCCGTTATCCGAAACTAATTTTCATGTTAATATTTTTCCTTTGTTGCTCGTTTCAGGCAACCCTCGCCATTCTAGACAAGCTCGATATAGACACGGAGAGGCCCAGCGATGAGGAGGTGGCCCGCATGTTCGGCTACGAGGAGGCCTACTTCTCGGGGACGCTAACCACGTGGCAGAAGCTCAAGCCGAAGATCTGGGCCCTGTTCGACGAACCGTATTCCTCCTCCGCGGCAAAGGTACCGCCGACCAACGTACAACACCGAAATGTGATTGGGTTTTTATTAACAATACTTACGTTTATATCTGAGGTAGTTAGAGGGTGCACGCAGGGGGGGCGGCGCCGCTTTCCATGGGAGCGAAATTTATCAACAACAAATTTGGTAGGCAAATGATCTGGTTTCGGCCTATCTTAAATACATGGGGAACATGGCCGGGATTCGGGAGTTGCGGAAAAATGAGAAACATCGAAATATGCAACCCAAAATACAATCTCAGCGGATTCTTAGTTTAATTTTTCATTTTCGTTTCTTTGTCATTGAGTTTTGTCTGCGTTTTAATTCAGTCGTAATCTCAGTTCAACAAAAACAAAATGAACAGTACAAAGTTTTTGCTAAATCAGCAACCGACTTGTCTAACGCACGCCCCTTTATCGAACCCCCACTCTCCCCCCGATCAATTGTGCGCCCCTCCCTCCCCCATTCGCCTCCAGCCACCCAAGAAACTATACAAGCCCTTGTTTTAATAACAAAACCACTCCACAACATTGGAAGCGGCTCTAATTACACCCCATATATTTAATTCAAGAACCCGAAGAAGTGCAAAGCAGAAGACATAAAGTCACATCAAAGTGTCACAGTCAATTTGATTTCACCCCAATTTGCCATTTTAATTAGAAATCTAATGCATATCCTCCGGACTAATTGCAGGAAAATAAAGTCACTTGTAATAATAAAGCTCCCATCCATGGAAAACCGTGCCTGCGAACCCTCCGGGAAGATTTCCCTTTTTACTATTTTCGTACTTTGGTAGTGTAGAAGTTTTTGCTGGCGCGCTTTTTGTGGTTCGATAGTGCGACTCGGGCGGAGCCGTGATTGCCTGTAGAAGTTGGTTTGTTGACATGAGGCGGTTTTTTGTTGTTTTAGATTTTTGAAAGTAGATTTGGAACGGATTTTTGCATTTTCTATAGTCATAGTAAGACTAATTCCAGTTTATACATACGACATCACTAACAGCAGGTTAAAAAAAAGTTGATATAATTGTTTAATGTCTTGGACGTCGTTGTAGGTTATGTGGGTCTGAATAATGAGGTCCTGTGGTGGCCGTGGCACGTGTATGTAAACTGTAATTAATCTCACCTTCCAAAATCTGTCATGTCCCACACGACACACACTGGCCAACTCCTCGAAAAGCCGCAAAAACTTCCCGCCGACAAATTCCTGGCACGAGCAGGTCGGTCTGCGAAACTCCCATAAACAACCCGAATAACAGCCTTTATGAATTTCAGATCGTTCCAATTAAGGCCGAAATTGAAAAAAATAGCTTCATCACGCTTCGTCAGTCCAAACAAATCGGTTCGGATGAATATAAATGATGCCGGCGCGGTGACCTGTTGTGCAGAAAAAGCGGCTTCATTAACTCTTGTTTTCTTTTAATATTCTGAAATTTTCAATGGGTAAACATGAATAAAAGTCTGCATGAAAGCCTTTTATTTTTTGTATTTTTGTATGGAGCTTGGAGGTTGAAATAACGTTACTAATCTGCCGGCTCGGATTGGGTGCGCCAAATTTCAGACGGTTTGGTTTGCAGATCGTGGCAGGAGCTTCGGTGTTCTTCATTTGTGCGTCGGTTTTGTCGTTTTGTTTGAAGACGCACCACGGGCTGAGGGTGGACTGCGACGCCGTGAGGAAGAACATGACGGAGGATGTGAACTGCACGGATCCGCACCCGTATTTTTTGACTGTTGAACATATCTGCAATGCTTGGTTTACCTTCGAGTTTGCTGTGAGGTTGATCGTAAGTAGAGGTTTTTTAACGAAAAGTGATAGAGTACTTTGAGTTGAGTGTTTTGTTTTTTCTACTTTTGACCACCTTGATAAGCGCTAAGGTTTATTTTAGGTTTTTTTTTTAAAGAGTTCTTTTACGAAAAAATTAGCATTGATTTATCATGTGTGTAAACTATTTTTGTCAAGTTGTCAATAATACAGAGAAGATCTCGAAGTCTTCTAATGTTTTTAAATTTTGTTCTAAAACAAAACACTAAGATCTTTGCAAATTCGTTCACGTTAAAAAAAAGACGCAAAGGGCCCCAAGATTCTTTCAAATTTTGTTCTAAAACAAAACACTAAGAGCTCTAAAGATTTTTTCACACTCTAAAAAAATGCCAAGGGGGCTCAGAATCCTTTAAAACTTTTTCAAAAACTAAACACTAGGGGCTTTCGAAGTTCTTTAAATTTTGTTCTAAAAAAACACCAGGAACCGTAAACGTTCTTTCACGTTTAAAAAAAAAAAACACCAAGAGGGTCTAGGATTCTTTCAAACTTTCTCAAAAACAGACCACTAGGAGCACTCGAGATTCTTTAATTTTGTTCTAAAACAAAACACCAAGAGCTCTAAAGTTTTGTTCACATTCTTAGAAAAATACTAGGTGGCCCCAGGATGCTTTTAAATTTTTTCAAAAACGAAACACTAAAAATAAATGTTGGTTAGCGTTTTACCATTTACACGATATTCCTAAAACACATCTAAAATTTCATAACAATCACTCCAGTAGTTTCGAAGATTATCTGTCCGATAAAATTTTCCAGAGACGACAGACAGACAGAAATGGGGGACCTATTTTTTCATACTCTGTGGTCTGAAAAAAATCATTCCTACTTTAAATAACTTTTAAATGCATTTTTTAAAGAACGACCACTTTTGCAGGTGTTTAATTTCAGTGAATGTATCCTGTACGAAAGCAAAGCTGAAATTTGTTGAGAATTTTTATTTGTTGACATTACCGCTAACAAAATAAATTAATTTCAACAAAGCACCCGTAAATCATAAAAAATAAGATTCTTCTTATATATCTCTGTCGTTTTAAAAATAGGACACGTAAGTCGCCGTTCCATTATCATTTTTTCCTTTGAACTCGCATTACCCCGTCTGAAAAAAACCACTTTAAAAATAGATCTGCAAGAATCTTTACAGCAAAAACAATAAAACCCGCAGCCGCCTCTCTCCGCCAATAAAAACACTCCTGAAACGGTGTGACATTTCAACGTAATCACCCGGAAATATTTAGGATGCCAGAGGTAAAATACACTGTAATAAAGTTCCAAGACGCTTCGATTATATTATTACCCAGTTACATATTAGATTACAACGGCAAAACACACCTCGAGGGATTACAACTGAATCAATAAAACCCCCCAAATTCCTAAAATTCTATCAGCGTAATACCGACAAAGTCAATAAACTGTTTATTGTAACATCTACTTGTGACAAACTTGAACTGTCATAAACACGTTCGGTCGAGCTGCACAATAAACTTCTGCATGAGAAGGTTAGTCTTACCGCACTTCCAAAGCAGACGCTTGTTCAGCGAGATGCATGCAAAAGATGCAGCGTACGTTGGCGGAATTTTTCTCGAAAGTGGCGCAGTCGGTAGGATTAGTGTTAACAACCAGAATATCACCATAAAACTTTTGAAAAAAGTTTGGTCTAGACGTTTCTCTTCGTAATCAACCCTCATTTACTCAACACGTCGTTCTCAAAAAATTCCAGACGCTCGTTTTATTTTTTAGTTTGACAAATTCTTAAATCGTTAACTCTCCGGCGCATTTCCCACGTTCCGTTTCCCCCTTTCCCGTTATAGACACATAAATCACCCCCTCCGCGCCCTAATTTAATTAAACACCTGTGCACCTCCACTTTTGATTCGCGCCACATCAATAAACCCTTCAGAAATTAAACCGTCTGAAAACTCCCCGATACTTGTACCTTTTCGCTGTTATTTCGTTTCGGTCGTTTCTCCCGAAATTATCTTCCCCTCGACGTAATTTTCTTGGCAACAACATTGGCGTCGTGCGAATTTTAACAGAAAATGCTGTCCGTTTTTGTGCGTTTTGCCTTATCTAAACTTGCAAATAAGGTATGTTTGGAAGTGACAAACGTGCGTCACGTCCGGAGGTATTTTGCGTAATTAAACTTGCATTTGTCGCTAGAATTCGGAACTTGACTGGTTTGATTAATTACTCAAGCGGTGTTTGGTCGCCTTTGAGTAAATGGAGATGGAATTTAAATTAATTAACATAAATGTTTGCGATGTGTAGGAACGGGAGAGTCGGATTCGGGAACGCAGGTTGAATGGATTTAAATGAGGCGTGCTTCTTTCGGGAAAATAACGGCGGTAGCGACACACACCAACGCTTTTCGCCAACGAGGGTGCAGCAGCGGGAGAGCGAAAATTAAAGCATCGATTAGGCGGCTGTTCATAACCTGCACGGCTTTTCTGAGGTTCGTACAGGCGGAGACGGAGGAGTGGGGGAAGACCAATATCTGCGGTAATCACTCTATTTTTATTTCGCCAGTTCGGGGCAATTTTGCGACGTACAGGGGAAATCAAGTGTCCGATTATTGGATTTCGGGATTATTCAATTATGTCGTTCACTTTGACCATTACGTTCAGGGTTTATGGAATCGTCCAGCTGACACGTATTTGCGATTATGGCGAAACTTCACTACTTCTCTTGGCATTAATGATGTTCGTTGTCTGAGCGAACACAATTAGGGAATCCCAATATTGAAAATAACTGGGTCAAAGAATTAATGACAGTTGATAATTGCATATTTTTACGGGGAAAAGCAAAGGGGAAACGAGAATTTCGTCGATAATTATAAGAATATATTGTGATTATTATTGGTGCTTCTTGATAAAAGTTTCTAAAATCATTGTTTGCTCTTAAAAATGGGGTCCAGAGTATTTGGAAACCATTAACAGTATTCGTAATTCAGTAGACGAAATTCATGTGAGACGATAATGAAACAAATGAAGATTTTTTCTTAGAATCGTATCACAGGTACCAACCGACAAATAACCAACTACTTCAAAAATCAGACACAAAGGGTCCTCGAGATTCTTTCAGATTCCTTCAAAAACAAGACAAGGATCCCCAAGATTCTTTCAAACTACTTCAGAAACAGCACAGTAGAGGTTCCTAGAGTCTTTCGAATTACTTCAAAAATCAGACGCAAGGGGTCCCCGAGATTTTTTCAAACTAAAGTCCCTAGATTACTAAAGTAACGCGAATAGGCGCCATTTTGGCTCAAATAAACAACCGCCAACTTTGAAAATGAGGACAATAATTGCTGGTATAATCAGTTATGACTACGAAAAATTACGAGTGTCTAACAATATGAATGTATTCTACGTGTTTTGGGTGCCTAAACTTTTATCTTAAAATAAAGTCAAGATTTCAAATTTTAATCATTCTATTTATACACTAACAAAAAACAAAATTAAAAATTAATTGACCATATCAACAAGGTTTCGCATTGCAAGACTACGACTACTTTTATTGCTTTTATTTTTTGTCTCCAGAGACTTATTTTTTAAAGAAAAATGAAGCCTACACTTCAAAAAAAAAACGTTGTCATCTTGTGTATAATATTGTGACATGTAGGGATGCGTATTTTGAGATTTTTCAAACAGATGCTACCTAGATGTTCTAAATCCAACTTATTATAAATTAAGTACGCCTCATTCTCTCTAAAGATCAACTCGCAGCTATAAATGTATTTATAAAATTCAAGCGAAGGAAAAAGTAAAATGTTTTCTTTGAATTCCTTCAATTTTGTAAAAGCACATAATTTTTCAATTGATTCCGAGTCTCTATTAGTTATCAGTTGTGTGAAACACTCACAATTGATATTTTTTATAAATTTGTGCAAAAGTGTAGAGCAAATACTTTGACACACTTGTTCACAAACGTCAGAATCAATTGTCAAACGGCCATTTTGGCTCAATTTGTGTCTGTCTTTGTCTAACACACGGGCCTAATGAATCGCGTTACTTTAGTAATCTAGGGACTTTATTTCAAACTATTTCAAAAACAAAAAAACAAAAAGGGGTCTTTAAGTTTATCTAAAATTACTTCAAAAACAAAACAAAATAAAAGGGGTCTCCGGGTATATTTTAAACTACTTCAAAAACAAAACACAAAGAGTCCCTGAGATCCTCTCAAATGATTTCAAAAAAAAGATCATAAGATTCTTTCAAATTACTTCGAAAATCAGACACAAGAAGCCCCCGAGATTCTTTAAAATGACTTCAAAAAGAAGATCCCCAAGAAATACCCGAGATTCTTTTAGACTACTTCAACAACAAAACACAAGGGGTACCCGGGATTATGTCAAATTACTTCAAAAACAAGACAAAGTATCCTCAAGATTCTTTCAAACTACTCCAAAAACAAAACAATAGAGTCCCCAAGATTCTTTCAAACTACTTCACAAACTCCACACAAGTGATCCTCGAGATTCTTTCAAATTATGTATTTCAAAAACAAAATACAATAAGGGGTCCCAGAGTCTATCTAAAACTACTTCAAAACAAAACAAAAGTGGTCCCTGAGTTTATTTCAAACTACTTCAAAAACCAAACACAAAGAGTCCCTGGGATCCTCTCAAATGATTTCAAAAAAAAGATTATAAGAGTCTTTCAAATTACTTCGAAAATCAGACACAAGAAGCCCCCGAGATTCTTTAAAATGACTTCAAAAAAAAGATCCCCAAGAAATACCCGAGATGCTTTTAGACTACTTCAACAACAAAACACAAGGGGTACCCGAGCTTATGTCAAATTACTTCAAAAACAAGACAAAGTATCCTCAAGATTCTTTCAAACTACTCCAAAAACAAAACAAGAGAGTCCCCGAGATTCTTTCAAACTACTTCAAAAACTCCACACAAGTGATCCTCGAGATTCAAATTATGTATTTCAAAAACAAAATACAATAAGGGGTCCCAGAGTTTCTTCAAACCACTTCAAAAACAAAACACAGAGTCCCTGAGATCCTCTCAAATGACTTCAAAAATAAGACAAGTGATCCTAAGATTCGTTCAGATTACTTCGAAATTCTTTCAAATGACATATTTCGAAAATCAGACACAAGTGGTCCCTCAGATTCTTTCAAATGACTTCAAAAAGAAGACCCACAGGGAGTCCGCGAGATTCTTTCAAATTGCTTCAAAAACAAAACAAAGGAGTCCAAAGATTGTTTCAAATTACTTCGAAAATCAGATACAAGGGGTCCCCGAGATTCTTTCAAACTATTTCAAAAACAAAGTACAATAAAAGGTCCCTGAGTCTATCTAAAACTACAAAAAAAAAAATTCCTCAGAGACAAGACAAAGAATTCCCGAGATTCTTTCAAACTACTTCAAAAACAACACAATAGAGGTCCCCGAGATTCTTTCAAACTACTTCAAAAATAAAGCGCGAGCGATCTCCGAGTTTCGTCAAACCATTTCGGAAATAAAACAGGAGTCCGTTAGATTATTTGAAACCAGTTTGAAGACAAAACACAAACCGTCCCTGAGGTCCTCTCAAATGACTTCAAAAACAAGACAAGGGATCCTAAGATTCGTTCTAATTACTTCAAAAACCAAACAAAAGTGGTCTACCAAATTCTTTCAAACTACTTCGAAAATCAAACACATATTTCAAATGACTTCAAAAAGAAGACTTACAAGGGGTACCCGAGACTCTTTCAACCTACTTCAAAAACAAAATACAGTGGTCTCCGAGATTCTTTCAAACTTCTTCAAAGACAAAACACAATGGATCTCTGAGATTGTTTCAAATTACTTCTAAAAAAGACAAGATATCTCCAGGATTTTTTAGAACTATTTCAAAATCAGGCGCATGGGGGTTGCCTACTTAATAAAATAATAATTCCATGACCTGCTACAAATGTATTTTTAATTGACCTGATCTGACCTGACTTGACATGCTACAAGTATGTTTTTAATTGTGCAGCCATTATTATGGCTACAGCAATGTCAAATTCTAAAATTATTACCCACCCCTGCAAGCGTCGCTGATTTCTGCTTGTCGCTTTAAAAAGTTGCCACTTCATTACAAAAACTTCTCAATTTCCTCGGTAACTCGACGCTTCTTTGTCTCGTCATTTGAATTTATAACTCTTCATAACCAGTATTGCTGGTTGCATATCAATAAGACGGCCCGCCTACACCACCCTCGAAGCTTCACCGTGGCAATTTTACTCGTGTTTATACCTATAAATTGAAGCGAACGTCCCATAAATAAAATCAGTGTTGAGCAACTCCGCGAATAAATTGTGAACTAGTGAAAAGAAGTTTAATGTTGTGTATATTTACGCGATAAAGTCTTTCCAGCTGAGAGTTAAGTAAAATATTTAGAACAAAGAACTCCGAATTTATTACAGGTGTAAAGCGACGCATCAATAATCCTGCAGTTAATCCGGCGCTTAATCCAGAAAGGAATCGGCGGAGCTGCGAGAAATGATAAATGGATTTTTTGTCTGCGGAATATCTGCGCGTTCGGAACGATTCCGAGATTTCTGTTTGATCGTCGAATTCGAATCAGTAGTTTGCGATTGTATTTGCAAATAATTGCGCGCCGGCGAAACTGAATTACCTATTCTGCGCTAATTGGTGTTTGTTGGGAAAAATCAACAGTGTAATTCTAGTTGGTTGTTTACCGCTCGCTTCCATTAGGGGATGGAAAATCCCATCGCACGTCCTCGGTCTTAAAATACTCCTGCAATCTAATCAAATTCCCATCAGAGCATCCATTTCGTGAATCCCTCTCGAAAAAACAAAACACTCTTTAATAATTCACTCTCCATTATGAAAATGTTTCACATTTATAAATATTTGCAAAGCAAATAAGCAGGAACAAATTTCCATTAGCTCGGAGGAGGGCGGCGCTTTTTGAAATTACTCAGTTTTAGCTTGCAAAGCCGGCTTTTGAAAATTATATAAAACGTGACATTTACAGTTGATATTGCAAACTTGCTATCAAACTCGGTTTTTACGTCACTACGTTTGTTTGTTTAGGTTGCGCCAAATGTGATCGAATTCATCAAATCGCCTGTGAATATTATAGACTTCACTGCAACTTTGAGCTTCTACATCGACATGATCTTGATCTTCGAGAAGAAGTCTCAGTTGCTGGATTTCTTCAGTATTATTAGGATTTTGAGGCTGTTCAAGCTGACCAGACACTCGCCGGGGCTCAAGATTTTGATCCACACGTTCAAGGCGTCGGCCAAGGAGCTGGGTCTGCTGGTGTTTTTTCTCGTTCTGGGGATTGTTGTGTTTGCGAGTCTTATATTTTACGCTGAGAAACTGGAGGTGAGTGCGATTCGCTAAAATTAGAAGTCGTGAGGTGATTTCATTTCAGGCGGTGCGGTTTGAATTTCCTGGGACGATTTATCAGGCGAGCGACGCGAGCCGCGTCTAATTTTAAACGCGCTTGTATCAATTTTCACCGCTTCCAATCCCCCGTTTGATGGATTTCCACAATTACTTCCTCGTCTGCACGCTCATAAGAATTAGCGCAGCCAATAAATTAACGGATATGTATTATTAGAGTGGTCGTAGATTTGCTCGTATCCGGAAAGTTGTCTGAAGGCGTACATCCTGTGAATTTGCAATTCGCCTAGAATTACGACGCGTAATAATTTTAAAGTAATAATTAACAAGCCGGTGTCCGCTTTCTTGCTAACGTAGCCTCTCCCAGGGGCAAAAACTTGTAAGCAAAGTATACATTTTTTACCGCGCCGCTATATATTAAGAAAGTTAGAGACGCGGATTGCATCCGTATTGATTACACTGCGGTAAAGCCGTATCTATTTATGTGTATCGGGAAAAACCGACGCGGGTCCTAATTACGAGAGTATCCGGCAAACGCGCCGCCAAATTTGCTTTTAAATGGCTCAAGAGTGCAGCGAGAATTCAAACATTTGCCGACTTTCCGCTCGAGGAAATCCAGAATACATATTTACCCACATCCATCGCATCGGATTTTCCCATTTAGCCAAAGTGTACACTGAATAGCACTATTCTGCCTTTCCATGTCCTATTAATAACGACTAAGTTCGTCTTGTTAACCAAATTCCGACTTATTATAAGCGGGATTAACTCCGAGCGCTCTAGCCGTAATCCTCTGCTGCTCCTCTTTTCCTTGTGTGTCTAATGCCTGGCTTTATCGGCGCGAGTACACGTCGAGACGTTTGCCGCGATTACGGCTACGATTTTTGAGCGAACAAAGTACCCGATCTACATAATTCACCTTCAAATCCAGCTAAATTTCAATATCAGAAAAGGCTTATTTTCAGTAGCGCTTTTGGCGCAGTCGGTAGGATGTGTTTTTCACAGGTCACTCTTTTTCCAGTACAATCCGAAAAACAATTTCAAGAGTATTCCGGAAGGCCTGTGGTGGGCCATCGTCACCATGACTACCGTGGGTTATGGGGATATGGCGCCGAAGACTTACGCTGGAATGTTCGTGGGGGCTTTGTGCGCCCTCGCGGGAGTGTTGACGATTGCACTTCCGGTTCCGGTGATCGTTTCCAATTTTTCCATGTTCTATTCCCACACCCAGGTGAGTGGATCCTTTGAAAATTTCTCCATCCGGAAAAGCGGAGCTTGGCGAGTTAATCGAATGCCAATGAGACGACAATTAAGTGACGTCTGAAAGATGGCGCCTCGGACGTGACTCGCGTCAATCTAGCGTATTTTTTCGTCAAGTGGGGCTATTAATATTCATTGGTTGGTAGCGCGCGGAGATGAGCTGGGTTTCAATTTGTGTATTTTTACGTTTTGCCAAACGCGAACGCGAACTGAGAAGGGTCGAGCTGTCTAGAATTTTTCGGAATTCTGGGGCGCGTTCGGTTATAAACTGCTCTCGGGGAAATTTGACGCGCTCTCTCATTAGTTAAAACGACGCGTTTTTATCAATATTTACGAACTATATGGGGCGCGAAATTGCCAATCGCACATCAACTAGTTTCACATTTCCCGGTTTGCAATTTGCAAACGACACAAAGACCAGGTTTTTATCGCAGAAATAATAGATGAGAGGCATTGAAATGACAGATAAAATTAATAACTCTGCCCTTTGCGATGATAAAACCGTTAAATAAATTATTAGCCTTCAATTCATCGCAGACTTTCGACAATAAAGCGCCCGTGTTCAACAGTACAGACTACAATGAGCTTAGTTTTAGTCCATCAGGGCGTAATTTATTTGATTATGTCTACCAACGCAGCGTAAAATGCGTTGGCTTGTTGCACGAGTAGTTAAATCGATTATCGCCGCTGCGCTACTTCAAAAGGCGCTGCCGTCGCATCCACCATCCCACTGTCACGTTGAAACCCCAGATGTCGCTCGAAAACTTTTTTCCATTTTTTAAGTGTCGTTTTTTCTGCCAGGCCCGCTCCAAACTCCCGAAGAAGCGTCGAAGAGTCCTTCCAGTCGAGCAACCCCGTCGCAAAAAAGTAGAGAACGCCACAAATCGAAGAATGAACGCCATCAAGCATCACCATCCGGCCGTATTCAAAGACGCTTTCGGTGGCGCTAAAATAGGTAACTGTCTGGCAAGCAGCGCCCTCTGTTGCTCAGTAGTGTCGTTCAGTGGCGCCCTCTCTCATCCCGTAGCCCACTGCCTCCACCTTATTGATCGTTGTGTGTACTAACCGTGACACTTTCTCCCCTTATAGGAAATGTTAATGGTGTGAATGTAATAGGTCTAGCCCTGCAAGGGCCGTCTGTCCCAAGCATTGCAGTGCTGCACCATAACGGACCCTACAGTCTGGCAGGTAGGTACCTAACACTCGTGTATTACTGGTTGCATAATCACACTCGATGTAATACGCTTCAAACAGATGGCGCAGAGATTAAACGCGCTTCAACGTATTCTGTGTTGCCTAACCGTGCGTCGTTTCAGGCGACAGCGAAGCCGACGCCTCCCTCGGCAGCATCCTGCCCCTGCAGCCCCGCCCCGCCACCACGGGCAGCATGGACATGCTGCCCCTCCAGCCCCGCTTCCTGCCCACCTTCGACCGCGAGTCGCGCTCCGAGCCGCGCGACCTGCCCGCCAAGCCCGACTCGAGTCCACTCAAAACCACCGAGACTGAGATCGGGCTGGCGAGCGTGCCGGCCATGGCCATCGGGAGCTCGACGGAGGTGCTGGTGAGCATCGTGGAGAACCAGGCGGGGCTGCGGCGCAACTCCTTCCTCTTCAACAACAACCAGAAGTCGCCGGACTGCGACGTGGTCAAGTCGCCCAGCACGGAGATGACGTGTTCGTCGGTGCAGTCGCCGCTGGTGGAGGGGCAGTGTCTGGAGGCGATGGAGGCTAGCGAGAAGGACCGGAAATAATTTTTTCTCTGTGTGGAGATGTGTAGTTGTTTGGAGGTGTTCTGGGGCGCAGGAACGGGTTTTGAGTGTGGCGCGAAAGTGGCGCAGTCGGTGGGATTGGGTTTTGGGGTTTTGTGGTGGCCGTTCCTGCGCCCCCTCTCGGTCTATCTTGAGTCCATTTCGACCTCTCGAGCACAACCCCGCGATTTCATTTGTTTTTTCCCGGAATCTATCGGCACTCGATTGGACGGGATAGATTGATCGTCCCCTATCAAGTCAAATTTGGCTATTTTGGGCCCAAGTCTCTGTTAAATGTTTATCAATGTGTTTTTGTTGACATCGTTCTATAGATGAGAGAGATTACGTGGAATGATGGGTTCGGTAAATCGGATTTGACGGCTGACATTTTACTGGATCCATTGGGTAGTAATTTATAACAATATGATGCTCATTGTAACGATTAGTAGTATATTTTTATAATAACCTTTTTCATTGTTGATATTATAATTAATAAAATGCTTTATCAGTCCACTCAATTATTTCTGAATGCCCTCCAAACGCGACAATTAGGACCGAACTTTATCAGCCAATCAAAGATAAGATAAAAACCTGTATTATTGACTGAGAATTTGTGATGAGAGGCGCATTTGTGATTGATTTTTTGTAAGAGCAAAATGACCGACCACGGTGACTCCGATCACCACCATACTCAAGATTCCGGTGACGGGAACCCAGCACCCATCGCGCCCCCACCGTACGTCTCCATGGTAGGAGACCACAATCCCGGAGGACACAAACCCCTCTCCACCAAGGAGTCCCTGCAGAACGACGACTTCTGGACCGTCCGCGAGCTCCTTTGGGGTATCCTCATTATAGTGATCGCGATCATCGTCCTCATCGTCGTGGGCTATTTAATCTCGTACCATCTGCCACAAGAAAAACCGAAATAAGTGATGAAAACTAAAAGTAATTGTTGTGCGCGTCTAATTTTTGTGTAATAAATGGACCTGAGGATGGGTTTGGAATGTGTTGTGCCATTATTCATGACCATACCGCATGTCAAGGGTCAACGGAAGATGGGTTTCAGGAACGCTAACGTCGTTCGGTAAACGGAGAAAATTGAATTTTCTCGGCGTTCTGACATGTGGAAGGATGAAGGATAAAAGAAAACTGATCCTTGATATGAAATGGCACCTTTCCGACGCTGCTCTATCAATAGCGGTGTTATTTATAATTATTTGTGTTACAATAAAAGTACATGTTAAGGCTGCGCTTTAATTAATCCGGTGGTTGCGTCCACAATAAGTGTGATATTCGATTTAACAGATGGCGTTTGATCGATTCAGAGGGTGGACGATTCAGGCTTAGGCTCATTATGCAAACTTTAAAAAATTTCAAGTGCCCTGTTTAATTAAATGTAACGAACCTCCGTGATTAAAATCCAGGGATTCTTTGATCCCATTTGATTTTAAAGAAACACGATCAAAGGAAAAAATAAATTGAACCGACTTCATTATTCCCTTATTATCAAACTTTGGACGGGGATTCAATCAATTTCCTCATGTCAATCGTGTTATTAAATTCCTCCAAAAAAGCCGATTGGAGACTTTGATTGATGGGAGAGCTAATGAGTTTAGGTAATGTGTAATTATGGCATTGTGTAGCCGCTAAATGGGGATTAGCGAAGCGAGGCAAGACAACAGAGGGAAGCCAGGTTGGGGTAGCGGAAGCAAGATGTGATTTTTTTCCGTTATATTATTATTTTAGAGAAAGAAATTGGGGTTAAAAATACAAGGTAAGTGGAATAAAACACTTTGAACATTAGACTTCGACGACACCTGCAAGACTTTTATTTTTCTTATCTTATCTCGCACAATGCAGACAATAGTTTAAAAGAGATACTTAACCAAATAAAAGAACATGAAATTCTGGAACAACCACTCCAGATAAAATTAATTAGAGTTTGTAGTGTGCATGATAATAAATAAGTTTTTATATTTAACTATTCGATACATTGCCACTTTGAGACTAACAAATCAATTCGACTTGCACAAAATTGAGTAAATTTTAATAACCGATGGTATTTAGGACAAAATTGATTTGTGGGATTATGTATAAATTAATAACCCGAATTTGGCGCAATAAAATGATTCAGAGCTATTGGATTGCGTTCCACTACAACTGCAGCTAATACAAATAACGGAAATAACATTTTGAGGTGCACTTGCTTTAATGTCAAATTTTGTTTCGTAAATTTATGAGTCATTTTGTTACAAACAAACTCGAAAACGTTGCGTACTCAGGGTCAACACGGAGTTTAATCCCGCCGTAAAATAAAACAAAGCGGGTTTGAGGAAAAAAGTCTCAAATCAATAAAAATAAATAACCCGTCGTCCATTCCCAGCCCTCTATTTATACAACAGTAGTATTCCAAACCTAAATAAATAAATAATTCCCGAGATCGCTTCGGCAAAACCTTGCACATTCTGCACTCATTCTTCCAAGTCACCTATATATAGAAAATCCATGTAAATCGATTCCTGCCAAAGGTCGCCCGACTTAATAAATAATCACATTTAATTAACCGAAATATTTTCTCTAATCAATTCTCAATCCCACATTAAAATTTTAAATAAATTATAAGCATCATAACACCGATCACGCACTCGCCCCATCGACCTCCTCATTTAATTTTACATTATTTTATTTTTACCACACGTCTTGCTCCCCTCACCTACTTACCATAAATAAATAAGGACTTTCCCGACTTTCCCGAACCGAGGAAACTTTCTCGTCCCAGATGATACAAATTAGATTAAAATCCATTTTTGAGTCGCGCAACCCCGCAATAAATACAGAACGCGAAAGTGTTATGAAAGTTGAATATTACGAAATCCGGGTCAATTTTCCGGGACGCAGGGCGCATGCGACTCGCCGGAATTAATGGCAGGTGCATAAGAAGGGTGAGAATTTTTTATTTTTCAGGGACGGCGAATCGGCGCGATTTCATTCAAAGGCGCTTAATCAAAAATTGAGCCGATTTTATTTCCCAACCCATCTGCAGAATTTTTCTCTATATTTTTTGGAATACACAGGAAACGGTTTTTGCTGAAGTCGATTTCTAATCAAATCCCCCGACACTTTTTTGCACGATTTGCACGAGTCTTTAAAATTTTGGAAATGTTTCAGGAGAAAGATAGAGTGTTTAGTGCAGAAGCTGGCTCTACCCCCTCCACTCAATGCTACTCGTTTTTGTGATTAATTTTTAGTTCTAGTTTTTCCAATATATTTGGTACATCTAGGTCAAGAATATTTTTTGCTGAGAAAGTGGGTTTCCGGTCTGGCGGGAAACGCCCGAGGTGCCGTAAATTGTGGTCTTTTCTGAAATATCGCAATCCGGCCCAATTTGGGCGTAATGATGATGATTATTTTGATGGAGATGGGGGAATTGAAATGAGCATAATTAAGCATCCAATAACACAAGCAATTGAACAGCAGCGTAATGGAAATCGATATGCTTGGGTAAATATTTGTTTGCTGGGTAATGAGTAGAGTAGCTGGTAGTTGGAGTTTTATAAGGTGTGAGCAAGGGCGTGATTGAGATTAATTTGATATTGATAGACCTTGGTTTATGTATAGAGAAAAGTTAATAAATTCGCAATGAGCGAATGAGGCACTTTTGGCTCTTCCTGAAGTTTGCTTTAAAACTTTTATTTTTATGGAAACAGAGTTAATTTTGTTTTTGCAAGTGATTTTTTATTTAACGCTTTTGCCTCCCGAGGTTTTGAGATCTGAACAAGACTGACAGGAGGGAATTTGTTTTTAAATAATTTTCGCCGTCGTCGATCTTTCTCTTGTTCTTGTTAGTTTTTCAGACGGGGGCATGTTATCGATTAACATGTAGAGAGGATTTTCTGGTACACAGTTCATTTTTAAAAACGAATATTCAAAGATATTTAGACAAAACTTTTTAAATTGGGTTTATATGGTAATTTTTGCAGTTTGATTGGTTTTATTTTAATTGTGTTTTCAATACCGCCATTTAATTGGATTTAATTCGAGATTGTAGATAGAGTGCGTAACGCAGAAGCTGGTCCTCGTCATTTGGAAAGGGAACGTGAGGTTGAAAATGTCGTATAGGTTAATTTTTGGTATTTTGTTTAATTTTTTTCTTCTAAGTCGGCCGTGGCAAGTAGAAAGTAGAGAGAAAGAGAAATGTATCAAGTAAGTAGTGTAACAAAATCTGGACGTTGGAGTGTAGACACTTTGAGTAAAAATAAATAAATAATTCAGTCGAGCGAGCCACGATCGATTCCACTCAAACCTCAACCCGTTGTCTTCCCTGAAAACTTCCCTAAAATATGTGTTTGGATAGTTTCTCAACAAACAAAAGAAGTCCCCTTCCCCCATCTGGGCATCGCCTTATCCAATTTTTGTCTTCCGCCGAATCGCCGACAGAGCAAAACTTCGCCCTCTAACCATATTTACCCCGACATTAAATTCCGAACTTCTTAAACGCATTCAAACTAGTTTAGCTGAAATCCCGCCACCCCCGAATCCGCCGCCCGCCCCTATTGATTACCTCAATATTTGTACACCAGTTATATCGGACATCAAAGTAAATGTGAGTCAGCGGCATTCGTTTCACGCAACCTGAAAGGGGTGGCGTCTGCATGCGTCAAAATTGCCCCCACGCGCCCCGCTCCCAGCGCCGCCGCCGCCGCTCAGTGTGTTCCAGGCCGGCGGCGAGCCCTCATGCGCCCTCCGCTCCTGAAAAAAAGCAGCGATTTTCGGCGCGCCGAAAACTGAAAAACCGGCCGGAGGCGGCGGCGACCACGGGGGCGGCTGGCGGTGCGGCGGCGATCGCGACGCGGGCCCCAAGTCGGCGATCGATCGGGTTATCGAGTTTGTAGCGACTGGAACAAAGCGTAATGCAACTGTGACGAGTGAGTTTTTCACGCCGAAACTTTCATTAATGCCTGAAATGTCGCTGGAATGTCAACGGTGAAAAGATGCGACGCCACTGACAGGTCGGAGAAGCACAACACGAAGAAGCGCAAGGTAAGCGAAAAATCGAAGCCGAAATTTCGGCAAAAACGCGCCGGGATCGGACGACGGATTTTCGGAACGCCCCCACGAAAATTGAAAAGTGATGGATGGACGCCATTTTTGGGACTGACAGGTGAGAAAAGTCCAAAATGGCGATTTACGCCCCCTTTTTTGTTTTGGTCGGGGGCGGCGGCGGCGGCGGCGGGATGCGGCTTCCATCGGGGGACCTTTTGTCGTGGTCAGTTCGTGCGATGTTGTGAAGTCGGCGTCAATCACTCGACGAATCGTGGAGTGGCCGAAATTTCGGGATGGTTCTGTTTTCGAACAACTTCTCTTATTTATAAAGATATCGATCTCGAATTCGCCTTTCTGACTTTATGGCCACTAACACGACTGAAGAGTATCTAAGTTTTATATGCAGGTTGGTCAATTTACGACTTCTTTGGCGGGGAAAACAACCATATTGTCTTTTCTTTATGTATTTGGATCAATATGGGCTTTTTGTTATAGCCGGGGGATCAAAACCTAATACTGTCGAAATTAAGTCACAAGTTTTCTTCAGGAAAGAAGACCTGATTATAATTTACGACTGTTTTCAATATTCGGACATCCCTCGCTTAATTTTTAATCAAGCTTCGAATACCTAAGTTAAATTGAGCTACTTCTGGACACGAGAAGCTCGACGATAACCTTACCGAAAATTTAATTTTGTTTTTACCCTTGACACAATTAGGTGTCCTCAAGCTGCGCCATCGAAAGTAAAAATAACATAAAACCAAGGATTACAGCACTTTTTTAGTCATTTTTTTCAGTATTAGCTTTCAGTACCGAAACACAGCTTGTCAAGAATTCATAAATCCTGAACAGCAGCCAACCTCACGAGGCAAATAAATATTTCATTTTTGAACATTTTCTCCTGGCAAGAAGTAATTTAATATCCACGAACACATCATTGTTTTCTACACCTTCACATAAACAGCACAAAGTCCATTAGCAACCACAACCAACCGCAGAGAAAAAAATTACCAAGCACATATTAACATTGATTAAAGCGTTCCAGACTCTTGGGAAAAAATGTTTAAGTAACAAACGTGCTGTAAAATACTTCTTCGTTTTGAGTACAACTAAGACAACATTAATTATTTCTGTTGGAACTTTGTTCCAAGTGGCAGCACATTACTTGAAAATATTTACTTTAACGCAAATGTACGTAAAACAAATTATAAAACACGTAACGAGCTTCCAGAGGTTAAGTAAGTAGTGTCTCGCCTTTTAGACACACTTTTGTCATCTGTGGAGACCAGTCTGGGTCTTTTGGTACAAGCTAATATAAAACTGAAGAAAAAATAACGATTTCTCTTTAAAGAGTTCTTTTTCCAATAGAAAGTACTGAATTGCAAGGTTCTGGCTGATACATAAGATGCACCTGATTTGTTGTAACTTCGGTACAGAACTGTTCAAAATTTGTGAGTTCCATTGAGGAACAATAAGAAATGGTTGAAGATGAAGCACTCTAAAAAATGTTTGACATAGAAAATAATCATCTGCTGAGACTAAAGATCAGGTAGTACCAGAACTTGACGAACTCACTCAAGACTGCATTTTAAAACTGACGCCAAAGGCTTTCGAAGATATTAGTACACCAACCTATAAAAAACGAAACTAATATTCTGCCCAAAATATAAATGATAATTTTGGAGAAATAAAAATTTGCCGAATGTGTATAGCGAAATATAAAGTCTATGTCTAAAATGAAACAAATAATAATTGGAGCTAAAAAGATGTGGCACGAAGCACCTAGAGGATAAAAGAACTTCCGAAGGCAAAATGTTTTAAACACAGCTTGAAAAATTCTTGTAAATCCTCCCTTTGTTATAAATCAATATGATCGATATGGAAAATATAATCACCGAGGAAATGAAACAAATAGCTTATGATTCTGGTCATGTCGAATGATTTTAGTACAGTAAATAATAAAATTCCGGAATACTCGGAGAGTCAAGTTTTACAGTTTAATAATGAAGTAGATACCTTGAAAGCTGAACTGATAAATCATCCTAGTACTCAAATTCGAGAATTAAACGCAAACTTGATCTATAGAGAAACAAATTTGTTTGACATTAAATAAAATACATGAAGAAGTTGTAATCTAAGTAATACGTAAGCTTAAATCAAAGTTAACAGCTGAGCCGGATTTAATTACATCTTTTGTTATTAAAGACTGTGCCGTCGTTTTCTCCAAGTCACTAACGACTTTATTTAAATCTTAGATTCTTCCACTTATCAAATTAGAATTCAATTCCTTTTTATACACTAAAAAAATAAGTCAGTGAAATGGTGAAAGGAGGTGGGCGGGGATAAGTTTAGCTTTTTTCGAGTCTTACGAGAAAGCCCCACCCACCCACCCTTTCTTTTCTTAGAGGATATATCATTTATCAAAATTAGTCTTATCTTAGCAGGTACTAGCTCCGCCCACCCATGCTGTTCTCATTCAAACGATTTTATTTCTGTACAGTATAAGATCCACCTTTAATTCTGACTAGATAAAATAAATCACTGAAATAGAGGCGGGGTGGGCTGGCGGGGTTAATTATATGTTCCTTTATAGAGCTGGAATGGGAAATAACAGAACGTAAGATTTTAAAAAAAGAAAAAAAACGCGCTAATGATAATGTTTTTATTGTGCTCTTTGCTATAAGATTTATTTCTTATTTCAGAAGAAAAAAATGAGAGAACGGGTGGGTGGGCGGAGCTAAGTTTAACTTTTGGGTACGGAGTCTTTTGTAAACAAGAAATAGCCCCGCCCACCCAGCCTTTATTTTCTTGAAGGGTATGTGATTTAGCAAAATCAATCTTACTAGACTTTATTTCTGTTTACTATAAGATCCACCTTTCATTCGCTTAGATAAAATGAATCACTGAAAGGGTGGCGGGTTGGATGGGCGGGGTTAAACTGTTAAAAAAAAAACTCTCTCTAACTCTCTCAGCTTTATTGGAATATTATTTACAAAATCGTTCTCAGTATGTTTCCTGTTTGGGATACCGTCTAAATCTTACAGTCAACGGTGTGGAGTACCACAAGGTTCGGTGCTCGAACCGTTCCTCGTTAATATATACACGGTGATTATTTTATCTGTTCACGCCTGGATAAGTCCGAATAGGTAACACAGTTTCCTTAAACGACGTCGTTTTAAATTTTTTATAAACAATAGATGGCAATGATTGCTCCAGAATTATGACAAATTAATTCTAACAGTCAAATTATTTTTAACTTTTGGCAACAGTGCTTTCGAATTCGGATTAAAACCAATATGCTTTTAACTTTAGGAAAGTGTGATGGAAATCAGACGATACAATTCCTTCTAACCAAGCATTCAGAAGACTCGAAAAAAAATAAGAGAAGTTGATTAGTTTAAGAAAACTAAAGTGAATTGTCCTACAGTACGAACGTCAGCAAATAAAGCTAAATTTTGTTTATTTTATTTTGTTTATATCCGCTTAAGTATCGAATAAAGTACCTTCTACTTTCTTTAAATTTTGCCATTATTGACGTCTTCGTTGTCATTATGACATAGTGTGATTTTTGTGTTGTTGCATTTATCCTAGCTGTGATTGTCTATTTAAAAAGATTGATAGATTAATCAAAGTTGCTTATGATATGTAAGTATAATGTGTTGCCTACACGAAAATATTCAGGCGTGAACAGATAAAATAATCAACCTGTATATAAACGATGTCACAAAGAAAATGACATTTAAGTGTTTAATGTATGTAGACGATTATTTTTTTTCTTTTTAGAAATTAAATTACTTCATCTACATACAAATCTCTTGGTTTTCTTATTCGAAATACTAGAGATATAAACGACAGCCATAACTATTTTCCAAAAGTAAAAATTTGAATTAAGACTTCAACTGAAAGTGCCAAAACTTTCTATGTATCGTCTCGAGTCTTTTTTTTTGTTGAAATAGTTGTCATCATTTCTTATAAATTAAACTCGATCGTCCCACTATAACAGCGGCGGGACGCTATTTTGTCGAAATCCAAACTGCATAAAATTTCGCTCAAACTATAGTCGGGGCCTCCAGTCGGTGATGTTTGTTAGAAGCACTGGAAACTTAGTCCGATATTTTCCTCTCGTGCTCTAATAAAATATCCGTTTCTCGCGTCGTTAACACTGGCTGCTCCGGCTTCCCGTTAATAACCCCTACGAAACGAAAAATCCCATAAACCCGTCCCATCAGCCGCCACGCCTCTTAAATATTTTGTTCCTTTTAACACAAAAAGTAATCTAGCGCACTACGAGCAACCCTTCCACAAAAGAAAAGCTCATATTCATGAAACCTATTTTCTGCGCACCCGCTCACTATTATTTACATCTCAAGCATCACTTCTAAAACACATTTTCCAGCGAGTAAACACGGAAGAAAATTCATATCCTCCGCCGTTATTTTTTATCTCGTTTTAGTTTCAAGATTCCGCTCAAAACACACACATAATGATAAAACATTAAGCCGTTTTCTCCAACTTTACTTGTCGCGGCCAACCTCGATCCATTGTTTGGAAGGTGTAACATTTCCTGGCGTCCTAAGCTTTTGTTCTAGTCGCCGGATTTGGGGTTTGGGGGATATTTAGTGCCGCCGAACGAACGTTCTTCGCCGCGACGGTGTTCCACTGCGGATGCCGTAAATTAGCCGGCGGTTCGGCGATTAGCGGGACGTATAATTGGTTGCATAAGCGCAACTGTCAATATCTCGTCGAAATTTGAGCTCGTTCATTTGGTACTTATCGATTTGGATTTTTCGGCAATTAGACGGAGCGCCGCGGGGCTAATGGGGACCGAATTTCAGGGCTCACGTGACCGCGGGTTACCGCGTTCGACATGAGAACGTCGAACAACGGAATTCGCTTTAATGTTATTACGAGTCGCATAACTCGGAGGGAAATTGATATGGAGAGAAATGTAAATGTTTCCGTATTTTTCCGGGCAAATATCCATCGGTTAGGTTTTT